AAAATATTACCAAAAATACTGTGGTTCCACATGGCAAGCATGTAGTTAATAATCACATCTGAAATGCATGCCCTTGACCTACCAACTCTCATGGCCTCGCTGTGAGAAAGCGGGCAGAAAATGCCCGTGTCTTGGAGTGCAAGTCAAAAGGCTTTTTCGACTTCTGCCCAAGCAAAATCTGTTATTATCTCAACATTTTACGCGGGACAGAGAATGCCCTGTTTAGAGGGCAGTCTTCACAGTACTTAATTTTCTTGTCTCTAGGAATTTTGACAGACGTGGAATGTAATCTGAACCGACGAGGGAGTTTATCTTCAAAACACAAACAAAAAATGCCAAAAGTTTTATACTAATGTAACCAGATTTAAATGACTATCAAAGTCATCCTACCAGAGGGAGGCAAAAATGCAGCCTCCAGGATCTAAAGGAAGGGATTAGAGAAAACTAAGGACATTCAGACTCAGAAATGGGAGATTATGGGATGACTTTGTGAATGAGCATAAACCTTGAGATTTCTTCTAATACCATCCGATTATCCACTCTCCTCTTACCACTCCATTGCTTTTAGGGCCTGATTTGGGGCCCTAAAAAACACACACGCAGACAGAAGACCATACTGTTTTTGGAATATTGTATAAATTATGATTCCATCAACATTTGTAATTCATTTAATAGGCAAGTGACAACCAGAAAAATTTTACAAAACGATACCATTTCCGGTAAGTTTCACTGCATATTATTTTAAGAGAACTTGTTACCTCCATATATGCACACTTTCAACTCTTCACGTGCAGTCTCTCACCTTTCACCTTGTCTTCCCTACAGCTTGGTATTGTTAATGAGCAAGTGTTTTGCTATCGATTTAGGTTAAGGCTACTTGGCAGACAGGAGATGGGGGAGAATCCATGAGCTTTGCTCTCCTCAGCAGTGTAAATGGTTAATGTGCTCAGCTGCTAATCGAAAGGTTCCACCCAGAGATGCCTGGGAAGAAAGACCTGGTGATCTGCTTCCAAAAGTTAGCCATTGAAAACCGTAAGGAGCACAGTTCTGCTCTAACACAGGGTTGCCATGATTCGGAGTCAGAGTCAACTTGATCACAATTGGTGGGGATTGATAGGGGACATTGGTGACATTGGTA